GGGGGCGCATCAAAGACAGGACACACAAAAGAGGGTGATCCGGGGTCGAGTCTCATCAATGAAAACGTTGTGGCTGCGGACTAGTTGTTGAGTAGTGGAAATGAGGAAGAGGTAGTCAGATGAGTCGGCATTATGCCCAAGATAAATGCACGTTTGAGTCTTGAGGCTAAGCTTGCCACCTTGCTGCCGCCGAGCATGAGGGTTGAGAAGGACATAGGCGGTGCGCCGCCAGACTCGAAGAGGGCGAGCAATAGGTGTTTTTCCGAGTCACAATGTGGTGAGAGTTGTGTCGGGAAGATGCGGGTGGGGGTAAAGATTGTAGACGAGGGTGGCATGGCAGAGGGCAGACCCCCAAAGAGAGAGTGGTGCTTGGAAGTGGCTGAGGAGACAGCGAGCGATCTGCACCAAAATGTGATTTTGACTCTCTGCTATGCCATTCTGCTGCGGGCTGTCATTGAGTGTGATTTTTTGCTAAATGCGGAGAGAGGAACAGAAGGCTTCAAGCTTGCTGTTGCAAAATTATCACCACCATCCGAATGAAGACACTTGATCGTGGTGCCAAAGGTGACCTTCGCCTGTCAAACCCATGGCATGATATGCTCTAAAGCCTCAACCTTAGTGCGGAGGAGGTGCACAGAGAGGTAGCGAGAGTGATCATCAACTGATGAGAGGAAATAGCGATGACCACCTCGTGCAGCAACTGGGGCAAGCCCTAGACATCCATGCGCACTAGGTCCAAAGGGGCTGCTGCAACTGAGGGTGAGGCAGGGTGAGGCTGTTGCAACGGTAAGGTGAGTGGCGCAGGAGACATTCCGACCAGATATGCTGCGAATTGAAAGCGGCTTCGCCGAAGACTGCAGGAGGAGAATCCGCGAAGGTGGAAGATCACGATCCGCGTGTGCGGTTGAATAGCACTGATACCATGTGAGACTGAGCTTATAATAGTAATGAGCTTGAAGCTCTTTAAATACATCCAAGATAAGCTAGGTATGATTGGGAGAGAATCGGGGAAATCCCTAGGGATTGGTGTTCCACTGGTCTAAGGTAGCCCAACTTCTATTGCAGCCACATGTAGGAAGTAAACAAGGTACCGAGGGTCAAACTTGGAATGGCCTGACCCAATCCTCATCGCCATGACAGCTATTGTACCAGACTTCTCCATGTCATGCCTTTCTCTATAGTCAACAGAAACCCAATGTATGCTTTACTAGTCTTTTCAACCTGCAGACATCCTGGCATGGTAGAGTATGGCAATGTGTTCCTCTCTGGCTCAGAGCATTTTTGTTGGAGTATTAGTATCTGTGATTTGTCATTTGAGAATGCTCCATGTGGACATGCAGGGACATACGCTCGACGACAATCACATGCCCTCCTGACAACAGCAGCTGCGTGGTCCCACAGACCACTTCAAGTTATTTCTGCGGGCACTGTGCCTCCTTCTGCACCACATGTGTCATGCCACCACCAGGTGAGCTGCTCCTTATGCAGGTGGCGTGGCAGCACCACATGTGTCTGCTCTCTTTAGTGCTAAGTGGATGAGCACTGCTTTGTCACCTATGAAACGAGCTTTTTTCAGTGTCAGGCATCTGCAGCTGAGTTACACAGCTGAGTTATTCCTCCTCATAATATGATTTTTTGCACTTCTGTTGCATGCCCCTCGTTGTTTTAACTGATGAATACCTATTTCAGCATCTCTCTGCCTTCCTTTGTTTCCTCTCCCTGTTCCCACATCAACTTTCACCGGGCCCACTGTCATCCCCATGTCTGATCACATAATTGTACCCTCCCCAGCGCCAGTACCAGCACCCTCCCCATCGCCAATACCAGCACCCTCCCCATCGCCAGCACCATCCCCATCGCCAGCACCGTCCCCTTCACCAGTGGCCACACACTCTCCACCTCCTCCCACGTCAACTCCTAGTGAGCCTACAGCCTCTCCCTCCCAGTCTGGAGGCGGTTTATCCAGCGGAGCCATTGCTGGCATTGCTGCTGCTGGCGCTGTGGCTGTCCTCATGCTGCTGTTGTTGAGTTGGCAGTTGTGCAAGCGACGCCGCACCAAAGGGGCAACAGGAGGAGGCGATACCAGCATCAATGGGGATGGCAAGAAATCAGCAGATAACAGTCTGTTTCAAGGTAAGGTGTTTCTGTAGGCGCCTAGCCTAGATGAAGCAATCACAAACCAAACTCCAGGCTATCAAATTATAAGTTGAGTATATTTAAAACCGAAAGATCAGATGCCCAAGTGTAGAAGGGAGAGACCCATGGGTTCTTTCTCATCACAAACAAGCCCATGTCCTTGCATACTTTCGGTTAGGCCGTTCTTTTGCTTGGGCCTGACTCATAAGTTTTAGGTTGGAGTTTCGAAATTGCCCTCCGAGACCTTTATTTGTGGTGCAGCGCACTATTCCCTGCTTGCTGGTGCCCCACAGAAGTGTCTGGCATGGGGCATTGTGCTTTGACTCCAGTACTATGTGAAATTGTCATATCTATTGGTACAATGGCAAAGTCCATATTGGTTCAATTTTTCTTTGGTCGAAGCGAGATTTTCCGAGTCAAGTGAGTGAGTGAACTGCCTGGTTCCATGTGCGGAATATTGAGTTCCGGTCAAACTGGGCAGGTTCGGTTAAAGAGGAAGGATGATGACGCAGGCTATGATTTTGAGTCCTGCTTCATAGCCATGACATCACACTGCCATATAGCTAATGTTTTGACATGGCAGTCTATGTACACATCGGTCTGCTTGTTTGTTACAGATGTGACTGAATTCATCTTCCCGCAAACACTCCATCCAGCATCTACTTTGACTTTCCATGATTCGTTGAATGAAGGCATGGTGCGTGCAGGTCCTTCCTAGCTCATTAGCAATTCACAGTATGTGGGTGGGGATCCTGTGCCCCTACTTGCACCAAACTTCCCATACCTTTACAGGAACCAAGGATGAGGAAAAGGATCTAGCAGCAGCAGAGGAGGAAGCCTCAGCAGCTGCAGCAGCTGCGCCAGCTGCGGCAGCAGCAGTGCTACCATTAGCAGCAGCACAAGGGAGGCGAAGTGATGGTGCTGTGGTGGAGATGGAGTCAGCACGGCCATATGTGTGTCGAGAGTACTCTCTAGCAGAGCTGGCCCAGGCCACAGGAGAGTGGACAGCGGAGAACATGATAGGAAGTGGCGGCTTTGGGGATGTCTACAGGGGCGTGTCGCCTCATGATTGCAATCAAGCCTGGGCGGTGAAACGAGCTCGAGTGTTCACCAACGACTTCCAAAGAGAGGTATCGTGTGTTGAGTTTCATTCGATCTGTTGTGAGTTTCACTGAATATGTTTTGAGTTTCATCCAATATGTTGTGAGTTTCCATTGACATGTCAGTGCCACGTTCCTTGTTAAATTCTTCTGCCAACTCCAATTATAACTGGTAGCTTCATGATATGGTCTCCTTTGATCTGTAACTGTTTTTCCTGATAGGTAAATGAAATGGCAAGCAAGCACCATCCGCATCTCGTGCGTCTGTTGGGCTACTGCAACGACATCTCCACACAACGCATAGAGCAGATCCTTGTTTACGAGCTCATGGACAACGACCTTGAGAAATGGATCGGTCCTGACGTCTCCCACCCTCTTTCGCTGCGCCAAAGGCTGGACGTTCTGATTGGAGTAGCCAAGGGCTTGCAGTATCTTCACGACTTTCCCATTGTGCATCGAGACATCAAGCCCGCCAACATTCTCCTTGACGCCAAAATGCAGGCATGTCAAAAGTGCTTTAAGCCTTTTCCATTCTTATCCACGGTGTAATATGCCTATTCTTATCATTTAGTTTGCCACTATCCTGTGGTGTTTTGAATCGCCTTGCATGCTCCTCATGTTGCGCATTGTTGCTGTTTTTTTGTCAATGAACAAGCCAAGATTGCAGACTTTGGACTGGTGAAGCTCACAGGGGGCACCGCTATCGGCACGGGTGTGGTTCCCATTCGAGTGATGGGAACACCGGGCTATGTGGACCCCGTGTACAGCACGACCAATGAGGTCACTCCAGCATCAGATGTGTGTACAGGTGAGCGGATTGGTGCAGGTGAGCAGATAGGTTCAGGTTGATAAATGTGTGCGGTTTAGCATATTGGCATGCAAAAACCAGGAAGGTCAGCAGGTGAGCACATTGGCTTGACAAAACCATTTTCGCAAGCTTTTGGAGTGTATGAGAAAGGTTCATGACTTTATGTTTTTTCTAGGGGGTTTGTTGAGGGTAAGGGCTTGCAATACTTTGCACGTTTCCTTTGCCTCATACTCAAAGAAAGATCATGCCTGACATCGAAGCCAGTTCAAGGTATGTTTGACTATACATTCGTAGCATGGTGATGGTTGGCTGCCTGAGGTAGGGGCTTGGGTAACAATCACTTATGGAATGGCAGAAAAAATGAATGAATTGACCAGTGCGACTATCAGACATTTGTATGTTGGAGCATGATTCCAAGCTTGATGCCTTTGTTCCTTGCTTGGGTTGCAGTTTTGGCATGGTGTTGCTGGTGCTTATCACGGGGCGCAAGGCTATGCATGTGATAGAGGACAACCAGATCAATCTCAAACAATGGGTGAGACACAGTGAGCAGTAAAGCACCAAGGCTGGCAGGTCTTGCAACACAAGACATGAGAAATCCAGCTGCACAAGGAAGTGAGTTTGCGTTCTTGCTAGTACCATTTCTTTGAGGTTCCTTGTTGCCCTCAGCCAAACGCGTATATAGGCCAGCACATTTGCTCTTTACCTCCTTCAACAACAGGACACTTGCTGCAATGTGTAAGACAAGTGTAACAAAGAAGAACACTAAAAGTTCTGCAGAATGGTGTTTATGTGGTAGGATTCACCTTCCAATGATTACACTTTCTGGCTTTATAGCACTAATTTCCTATATTCATGCACTGTTCCACCCCTCACTGTGGTGCCACCATTCCAGGATTATTCGCATATTCTTCCTCAGCATAAAACCCTGTGAACCTTCTCTAATTAACAAATCCATGTCCTATACACGTTCAACCCGAAAGGTGACCCCGTTAGTGGAATCAGGAGCTGTTCCGGCATTCAAGGACCCCTACTTGGACGCACCAGACGACTTTGTGCTGCGCTGGGCTCGCCTGGCCCTCTCCTGCACCGCCATGCCTGCAGCCTCCCGGCCCTCCATGCATAAAGTGTTGGGGAAGCTGCGGAAGCTGAAGCAGGAGGCGTTCGGAGAACATGTGGGTGAGGCCATATCTCGAAATGACATTGAAACTGGGAGTTCTAATGAGACTGCCGACCTCACTGCAGAACTGGCCCGTGCAGCGAGTGTGGGGACGTCTACATGATCGATTTTGCATTTGCATACACCTTACTGGTTTTCCTTGCTACTCTGATACCAATGATTTGTGCCATATGAAAACGTATATGGAGCAATAAGACCCGTTGATAGGGGTTTTGGGAGGGATACTGGTGTCGTTTTTTGGTGGTATGGTTTTTGAACAAAAAACAGCCACCCTTTTGTTTTTTCACTACCATTTCAGAGCACCATAGGGTTTAATATACAGGGGGATAATGATAGACCAACTCACTGCCAAGATAGTCAGAGTGTGCTCTGATGGCCCAGAAAATGCTAACTGATTCCATGTCAAAGATGCCACACACTTGGTTTGGAGAAGTCACCAGCAGTTGCCATGGATGGAACAGCTACGGTACAGAATCCACAAATGAGGTAAATTAATATCAAGCACATGGAGAGGCCAGTGCCAGAGCAGAGCAGCTGTTCTGATTGTAATTCACAAACCAACCACATATCGCATCTGATGTGTCTGTGCCACTTACTAATATACCTTCCAATTTCTCTGGCCAACTAAGCTTTTCACTTGAACTTATCCACATTGTACAAACCATTGGTACGAGGTTCAAAACATAAACCGAGGTGCATGTAAGAACAAGACTCTGATGTGCTAGTGGAAGAGGCGATCTACATTCCTGCGCACTTTGCTCGGGCAATTTCAGCAGAGAAGGAAGGGGTGCTAGTTGCACTCCCAACTTCCATGTCGACGCAAGTTGTGGACTGGCTCCCGTGTGCCCCATATATTTCCTGCTTCAACTTCACCAGCTCCACCAGTACTTGACTCATGGAGGGACGGGTGGCCACAGGCATGGCGGTGCAGGAGAGGGCAAGGCGAGCCCAGCGCAGCACCAAGTCATCTGGTGCGTCCAACTGCGGGTCGTTGAATGCTGCCACGGCTCCTGAGTCGACTAACGGGGCCACCTGTTGGGTTGGATGCATATGACACACGGAAATTTCTAGTGGAATTTGCTCATGGAGAGTTATATCAACGAAATTTTGTGATAGAAATTTTACAATACATAGAGGATGAAAAGCGTGGGAAGATTCTGGTAAGAAAAATTCACCCCTCAGAGGACAGGAAGCAGAATGACAGGAAGGTTACTTGTGCAGCAAATACAAGGGCAGTTACAAATAGAGTATACCCTTTGTTATACTTGTCCTGATCATGCTGCCATGTTTCCTATTATCGAAGGAAGTAAAGAGCACGTCAACTGGCCTACAGATTTTTTGGCAAGGCCAGCAAAAAAAAAAAAAAAAAAAAAATGGAGAACTGGTGTTAAAAAATGAACCAATTCAACTCACTTCATTGTGCATCTGGCTTTATCGTACCTTGCATTGGTAACAGTTGTTCACAGGGTCTCACCCATTTTTTGAGATTGATCTGCTTGTCCTCTGTCATATGCACAGCCTTGCGCGCTGTAATAACCACCAGCATCACCATGCCAAAACTGCAAATATTGCAATAAACAAAGACAATTTATCGCAATGCCATTCAAGTGCACACAAATCTAAGGATGTGATGTTTCACAATGGCTTGTGTCCCAAGATCTTATCAAAACTAGCAGAGCATCACCAAACACTTGACCAGTTATACATGGGCATGCCTTCATTGCGAGGCAAAAGAAACATCCGAAGCATAAAGAAACAATAAACTCATGCACCCCATATAGACCTCTTCTCATTCATTCCAGATAAGGTTTTCTGCTCCAAATAACTCTCCTCATCTGCAGATGCTACTCGAGATGGAATTTCTATGCCAATGTGCTCCTCACCTCAACTGCACTAATCTGCTGGCATGCACCATTCTGCTCACCTGTACACATCTGCTACTGGAGTGGCCTTGTGGGACTTGTAATAGGCAGGGTCCACATAGCCCGGTGTTCCCATCACTCGAGTGGCAGCCACAGAGGTGCCCATAGCGGTGCCCCTAGTAAGCTTCACCAGTCCAAAGTCAGCAATCTTGGCCTGAATAACAAGCACATGTGCATGTAGGCAGAACTAAGATATTGGTGCGGATATTGGTTGGCACCGATTGTTTCCAATCAGTTAAGCATGCTGGAAGTAAGAAAGCAGAAAGTTTATGTAGGTCAAAGAGAATGCAAGCAAAAGAAGGTGTTAGACATACATGCATTTTAGCATCAAGTAGAATGTTGGCTGGCTTGATGTCGCGATGCACAATGCCAAAGTCATGAAGATACTGCAAGCCCTTGGCTACTCCAATCAGAATGCCGAGTCGCTGCAACAATGAAAGGGGGCTTGGAGCACCTAGAAAGGAACAAAGTACATAATATCATGCCACGCCAAAAAAAAAGATTTTGTTGATAACCAAGCACAAGAATGGTTCCAAACGGGTTCGAAACTGGTCGGTTTAACAAAAAAGTTGACTTATGCATGGTGTTTCAGCAATGGCAATGAGAATTGTTGGTGAAAATAGGGAACCTCCAAATCTGATCCTGATGTGCAGGTTAGAAGTCAAAGGGAGATGCCTAGCGCAATAAGGAGCTCTTAGGTGTAGAGAGAAGCTTATGTACCTGGTCCAATCCAGCTCTCGAGGTCCCCATTGGCCATGAACTCATACACGAGTATTTGCTCCATGAGACTCGTGGCCGGGTCAAAGTTCACGCAGAATCCCAACAGGCGCACCAGGTTGGGGTGGTGCTTGCTAGCCATCTCCTTCACCTGAAAAGTGGGAATAGTAGGGAGAGAAGAGAAACAAATCTGTGTGTGTGCAAGTGTGTGTACATGTGTGTGTATGTCTGTTTATATAAATACGTGTTTCTGTATGTGTGGCATATATCAGAGATTGTGTGCGTGAGTGGGTGGGGGTGTGGGTGGGGAGTGGGTGGGGGCAGGGGAAAGGGAGGGGAAGGAAGCGAAGGGCCATCTGCTCACAAAGGTCATCTAGAAATAGCATTGCAGCGCAATTCATGCTTTGAACCAGAAGCAACAATCAGCACCATGCGATACCTTAGTGAGGAAGTCGTTGGAGAGGACTCTAGATCGCTTCACAGCCCACATCTCATTGGGGTCATGCACTGACACGCCCTTGTATACATCTCCAAAGCTGCCGCTGCCAATCCTGTTTTCCTCTGCCCACTCTCCCGTCGCCCTTGCGAGCTCTTCTAGAGTGAACTTCTGGCATACATGAGGCTTCACTGCCTCCATCTCCACCACCACGTCTCTCTGCTTCTCCCGTGCTGCTGCTCCTGCTGCCACAGCTGCAGCAGCAGCAGCAGCAGCAGCGGCTGCTGCTGCTTCAGGGTCCCTCTCCTCTCCTCTGGATGCTGCGTTTGAATAATCAGGTTCTGGGCCTGGAGGGGTTTTGAAGTAGGAGATAAGACGAAGCCGAGGAAATAAAAGTGGATGGAAATTGAAGAAGAATGCTGGAAATATCTTACCTTGGAGCACACAATCTTCTGCCAAATCCTTAGCATCCACATCGGTGCCGGTTCCGCCTCCTCCTGCTGCCCCTTTTGTGCGGCATCGCTTGCACAGCAGCCAGGTCAGCAGCAGCAGCACAACAGCCACACTGCCAGCATCAACAATGCCAGCAATGGCTCCACTAGATAAACCGCCTCCAGACTGGCTCAATAGGAGTTGACGTGGGAGGAGGTGGAGAGGGTGTGGGCACTAGCGATGGGGAGGGTGCTAACATGGGCGATGGGGAGGGTGTTGGCGTTGGCGATGGAGAGGGCTTTGGCACTAGTGACAGGGAGGGTACAATCATGGGATAGGAAGACAGAGACGGAAGATAAAAGGCAATCAGACATGGGGATGGCGGTGGGCTTGGTGAAATTGGATCTGGCATGATGCAATTTTTGCACAGGGAGTGGAGGCAAAGGAAGGGCGTTAGAGGGTTGTAAAGGCCATGAGGATGCAAAATTTCATATTATGAGGAGTAGCTAAGCTGCGGATGCCTGACAATGGAAAGGCTTGTTTTGTAGGTGGCAATGCAGTGTTCATGCAATCAACACTGATGAGAGAAAATTAAAGAAGAAGGCAGTACAAATTGCAGCTACCTGCACAAGGAGCATCTCACCTGGTGTTGGCATGACACATGTGGAGCAGAAGGAGTCACACTCAAAGCAGAAAGCACTTATATTGGTCTGTGGGACCATGCAGCTGCTGTAGTTAGGAGGGCATGTGATTGCCGTCGAGAGAAAGATCCTGCATGTGCACATGGAGCGTTCTCAAACTTTGAATCACAAATACTCCAAGCGAAATGCTCTGAGCTGGAGAGGAACGCATTGCAATACTCTACCATGCCAGGATGTCAGCACGTTCAAAATACTTGTAAATCATACATTGTGTTTTTGCTGACTATAGAGAAAAACATGACTTGGACCAGCCCGGTTCGATAGCTGTTAGGCCATTCCAAGCCTGGCCCTTGGTAATTTGTTTACTTCCTACTTGTGGCTGCAATAAAACATGGACGACCTTACACCAGTGGAACACCTACCTAGGTTCCATCTACACCTCCACTTCATGAGACGCTTCAAAGCCAGGAAGGTATTAAACCCAACATGTTAATATGCGAAGATGCCTTACAGGCTGACAAGACGAGTGAGATTGCCTATTGTTGGAGGGAGCTGGCCAGTGAGGTTGTTCGAACTGGCATCACTGCAATGAAATTGACAGATATTAGACAACAAGCCAAAGCATAGCTACCATAATTCCTGATGGTGCATGCATGTCAGAGGTTACACGTGTACAGAGATGAGGGCACAAAGAATGAATTAAAAGGTGGTACGAGGTAGGAGACATCAGGAGAGGGAGATAAAAATGCATGATGTGTTGACCTAAGATTGTATGATGAGCCGGACATGTTTTTATAACACTTTGATAAACGTTAATTGGTCGCAGCTACAATATTTAACCCCAGCGGCCGGAACAGACTGCCAAGGCTCGAAATTCCCAGCTTCTCCTCGATTGCTATTCCTCCTTATGTGGAATTTGCTGTGCCATAGGCTGCAGGTTGCCCCAAACAACGCTCCCAGCAGCCCCAATCACCACTGCTGCTTGAACGACTTGCCATGAGGCCAGCGGGGAGTGGTTGACAATTGTATAGGGGTTGAATGGATTTCACCTGTTTGGACAATGTCAGCTAACTGCTATAACTCTGTGGATGAAATATGGTGACAAGCAGCATCCAGAGCAGCATGCCTCGCATCCAGTGCCGGCCGGTAGGTCAGCCGTTTGGGGCGTGCTTTGTAATAGAGGTGGCTTAACGGACGTTCGGACACTCACCAGGGACTGACTAGCACCTTCCACAACAGCATGCCTTGCTTCCAGCACCGGCAGGTCAACCGTGATGGGCGTGCCTCGTACTACAAGGCATGCCGCTCACGGCTGACCTGCCGGTACTGGATGCGAGGCATGCTGCTGCGAACTGCCACATCTGCTCGTCCCGTCTTTGACCAGTTCACATAAGACAAACGAATGTCGGGAACAATAAGTTGCCCAGCTTGCTGTAGAAAGGCCATGTGCTATGACTGGTCATGTCATGGTCCGAGACGGCTGTGCTCAATGCCTTGTCTATCCAGATGAGGCCAGCAAATTGTCAGCTTCTCTTGAAATAGTACGCTTGCATATCTCCTTGCTGTAGACATCTTGCGGGCTTGCTGAGAAACCAATCCATTACGGGCCGCATCAGCAGCCTGGCTCGGCCCAGCGCCCCTTGCTGATGCCTAGCGTGTATGCCCATTCCCAAATCAAGTTGACCTAGTGTCACCATATGTTGACTCTCTTGATTTGACCACCTCTCTCAGGTCTTGTAAACTGACATGCATATTCCCTTGATCATGCTCACAACATAATGAGGTTTCTCATGTTGCCGATGGTGGATGGAATAGTCCCACTCAGAGTGTTGTTGTTAAGAAACCTGATGGTACATCATGCAAAGGGTGTTATGGGTGGAAGAAATACTTAATCATGGGCACATGTTTATGGCTACATATAAGAAAAGTAGGGTTGGGAGAGGGTGGGGGGGTGGGGGGGTGGGTTGGGGGGTGGGGGGGGGGAGAGGGACTTGGTTCGGGCCGGGTCGGGCCGGCCCAAAAGTGCCCTGGGCCTAACCTATTAGTTGGGGCTGTCGGCGGCTCGCTTTTGGCCTGCCTCAAGGTGGGGCCCAGGTCAGACCCTTTCGACCCGCTTTTGACCCCGCGGCAATTTGCCGTGGAGGTCTATATGAGCTGCGCGACAGAGTTGTTGGAGCTCAATCAAACATATGAGAAGTGTTCCGTAGTAAACTCTACTTATAAGCTAGTTTAGTGCTCGTCGAGAAAACCCTAGAAGGTGATTACGCTGTCGACTATATATTTGGCCAACAAATGGGGCCAGATATAGTCGACATGGTTTGGAAATCGATGGACTGGTTGGAAATTCTAGATTTGGTGCGGTGAAGTGCGGTATTTATTTAACTTTGTTGGCCTGATTTGAGACTTGAGTCAATTCGTCAGATCTCAATCACGCGGTCAATTCCTAAGCTAGTCGCGCGACGAAATCGTGAGTTCACGTTTTCATCAAGACCTTGGAGTTTTTTTTTTTTCCCGTGGGCTGCCCAGAATTTTCAGGCGAATGTACATCTTGTACGCCAGCGCTTAGCATATACACGTCGTGTATATACGCTACAGGTTCGGCAGGTTGAGCATTTAAGTCCACTTAGGCCTAGGTTCTTTAGATCATGCCGGCAGGTGCCTTCGCCTTCCCTTTTAGCATAACAAAGATATGTAACTATATCAAAATCGGACCCGGGCCGGACAGATTTCAGTCCTGATCGGGCCATACTTAGCCCGATTGGACCCTTTTCGGCCCTGACACCCCGTGGGCGAACCCGGGTCGAGGTCTTGCTCCTTCGGCCCGGGGAGGGCAAGGAATTGTTTTAAATGGTTAAGACCGAGTATGAGATCGACTTCAGTGCGTGGGAGCAAGCGAATACCGCATTGATTAGGGTTATCATTACCACCACCTCGGTTGAGCTTGTTAAGTCCTAGTGCAGCTTTCGCTCTGCCCATGTCATATAAAGCTACCTCCAGGATCGTTTCCATGATAAAACTGCAATGGGAGAAGCCATCCTCATTCCTCATGTTTCAAATCCGCCTTGAGGAATGCCTGGCATGGTTGACTACATATTTAAGATCCGCAACATACACGAAGAACTCAAAAACATTGGGATCACCTTTCCCAAACAGGCGCCCGCAGCTGGATTTCTCGTAGTACTCACTCCGGCCTACAATGTGACTAGTTCCATTTTTAAGCAGCTCCCCACTAAGGAACTTACTTTCGCTATGCTCGA